CCTTTTGCTTGGGGTCCCAGAGCTGAATACCATTCTGCAGGTGGGGTCTTGGGAGAAGGGAGTTTATGGGTAGAATTATCCCCCTTGACTTGCTGACCATGCTGCTTTTGATGCAGCCCAGGATACAATTGCTTTCTGGGCTGTGAGTGGACACTGACAGGACATACTGAGTTTTTCATGCACCAGACACCCTCCTCTGCAGGGCTGCTCTCAATCCACGCACTGTCCAGCCTTGGGATTGCCCTCAGCCATGTGCAGGACCCTGTAACTGGCCTCGCTGGACTTTCTGAGGTTTGCCCCAGCCCACTTCTGTCCTCTCAAGGTTCCTCTGTGTGGCATCCCTTCCCTCTAGAGCACCACAGCACTCACCTTGGGAAGCAGCACCTCTGCCTGGCAGTCACCTCACCTAAAGCAAGGACTGGCAAGTCAGGCTGAGCTGAAACTTATCCATGGAGCTGCAGGAGCTCTCTGTCTAAAGAGACAAAAGAGTCACCCCCACAGGAGCTGCTTTCCTTAATCCTCCCCTCCCATCCTTGTGGCTGGCTGGACATGTAAGTCTCCATCAAGCCAGGTGATCTGTGCACTAAAAAATAAGGACAAGGGAGGTGGCTGTCTCAGCTCCCATCAGAGTCAAGAAGTCTGGAGAGGGAATGTGCTCACCCTAAAGGAACATCACTGTGTCCTCCTTAGGCTCCATGGACAGCTCAGTCTCCACCAAATTTCTTTCCAAGTCCTAGTCTTCCCTTACATTATATTATTACAAAGATCTCTGCACCACAGTCCTTTTTGAAACTTTTCAGTCAGATAAATGGCATGAGTTAAAAATCACAGAGACAGTGCCTCAAGTGTTAGAAAAATAATGTTGTATATTCCAGTGAATTTGGAGACACTGTGGGGAAGTTCTAAGAGAGGATGACAACTGCTCACCTGCACCCACAGCCCAAGATGACTGAGCCATTTCACTGATGGGAAGTTACTACCTCTATTTGGCTGCTGAAACAAAAATCTAACTTCTTACAAGAAAAAGCCACATGCAAAATAAACCACAACTTTTTTATTTTCCCCTAAAAACTGGTAAATTATTCCCAAGATGGAATTGCAGAGAACTGTAGAAACAAGAACTTTCTGCACATTTCTATTGCTTCTGGTGGATACTCTGCAGGGATAATGTAACTTTTTCCCATCACAGTTTGCTCCTTAATGTCTGTGAATAATTCCATTTTAAACCCTTATACACATATCCTATTTTCTGCTTGAAAATTGCAGATTTTTTCTACAGATCCAAAAAGGAAAGCCACTTTTGGTATCAAATCATGTTTTCTAACAATCCACAGTTAATACTGTGTATTCTTTGTTCTCATTTCCCATAAACAATAGTATTTTCACAGAAGCTTGGGGGAGAGAAAAAGCAATTTGCTTTCAACTCTAATCCAATCTTTCTCTTTTGCCTCAGTAATCTCTCTATCATAAAACTAAGATTGAGTTCCAGCAAAAACTTGAAATACAGAAATGCTGAGACATTTGACAAATGACTCGTGCCTGCCTTCCCTCAGACCTCTCCCAACACATGGGGAGTGTCTCTGAAGCTGACTGTTAAAATTCTATATTAAAAGTGACAACCGAGCATTTTCAGGTCATTTTCTCCTTCACAGTATAATCACTGTCACTGGCAGCACGTGGAATTACTCATCCTTCCAGTATTTTTGGCAGAAAGAGCAAACACCTTCAGCAAATTCCTGTTTCTGTGATCCATCTTCACACAAGCTACGAGGTGCCATTCCCAAGTTACAAGATAAAACAGCACAGCTCTACTCAGAGGAGCAGGGGATGCAAACCTACCTCCAACAAAAGGATCCAACAACCTTCCCTCATAGGATTCCTGATGCCTTTGTTAAGGGAAACTATGGGATTCAAGAAGAAAGCAAAATCTCAAATCACCTTGCACTTCTGGTCATTCAGAAGTGAATAACAATAATATAATTAGCAAAACTAGATTTGTCACTGTGGGGCTAATTAAAGAGTTCTTGTAGTGCTTCACGTCATGTGGATCAGGACCACGTGCAGATGCAGGAACCTTAAGATAATTGGAGCAGAACTAAAATGGGAATGTTCATGGCAGTGTAGTTACTTCCCCCCCTTTGCAAGATGAAAAAATGCATATTATACTCTCCCAACCACAGACTTTCTGCCCTGGAGCTTGTGTTCAACTGTGCTTTAAAATAAAAATTTAATCATTGCTACAGGATTGTTGTATTAGTAAAGCCCTCAGGGCACTAATTATTCCAAAACACTTCTCTGCTCCTTTATAAAGTGAATTTTCCTGGTTATACAATAAAAAGTTGGTCTACACATACACAAAGGGGCACACATGCCCAGCAGCAGGCAGAGAAACCACAGTAAGCTAACCAGAAAAATGGACACTGAGCCACCTCTCCCAAGGGCTCTCCCAGGAGATGCAGCAGGCACAGGGCTGGGTGTGATACCTGCTCCAGTGAGTCTGGGAACAGCTCCTGGGTCAGCCTGAGGCTGAGGCAGAGTTAATGCCCAGGAGATAAAGGACCCATCATGGAATGAAAGGAGAAAAGCATCTCAGATGGCTCCTAGGGATGTTATGGGGAGGAACCACACTTGTCTGGCCGTGCCCTGCTGCTGCTCAGTGCAGTCAGGATTCCCTGTCTGGGTCAGGGCTCTCTGTTGTGTGTCCTGTGTGTGTGTGCTGCAGCTGGAGTCACAGGGCCCATGTGTCCATGGTGCCAGGTGCCATGGCCCCTGCTTGGCCACCTGGGCACACATGAGCTCATCCTGAGCCCCTGTAAACCAGCATGCCCCAGTCCTTCCAGCTTTGCAGGCCCTCTTCCCTAAGCCTGGAGCACTGCATGGGCTTTTTGTGACCCAGGTGCAGAACCTAGCATTTGGCCTCGTTGAGCCTTCTACCACTGGCCTTGCCCCACGGATCCAGCCTGTCCAGACCCCTCTGCAGAGCCATCCCACCCTCCCAAAACTCCCATCCAAGCTGGTGCCTGCCAACTTACTAAGAGTGCACTCAGCCTCCCAGTCCAGATCATTGATGAAAGGCACTAAAAAGGACCCCAGTACTGAGCCCTGGGGAACACCAATTGTGATGGGCCACCAGCTGGATTTTAACTCCCTTCCCCACCACACTTAGCACTCAGCTGCCCAGACTGGTTTTTACCCAGTGGAGAGTGTGCCCATGCAGGCCATTGTCTCCAGGAGCAGCCAGTGTCTCCAGGAGAGCACCGTGGAAAACTGAGTCAAAGGCTTTACTAATCCAGGTAGATGATATCCACAGTCTGTCCCTCACCCACCCACCCATCTTGTCACAGGAGACCAGACTGGCCAAGCAGGACCTGCCTTTCCTAAACCCATGCTGGCCAGCCTGATCAGGTTTTCCTGTACCTACCAGATGATGGCACTCAGGATGATCTGTTCCCTTCCTGGCACCAAGGTCATACTGTCAGGCCTAGAGTTCCCCAAACCCTTCTTCTGGCCCTCCTTGCAAGTGGGAATCATATTTGCTAACCTCCAGTCAGCTGGAACCTCCCCAGTTAGCCAGGACTGCTGATAAATGACTGCAAGTGGCCTGCTGAGTGTTAGCACTCGCTTGGCACCACTGTGTGGATCCCAATCAGCCCCAGGCTTTTGTGTGCCTCAGTTGTGTAGAGGTCACTGCCCAATTTCCCTTGGATCATGTGGCTTCAGTCTGCTCTCCATCCCCCTCCTCCAGCTCAGGCAGATCAGTACCCCCAAGAACAACTGGTATGAATTGCAGCATCTTTTCAGGTTCTGAGCAGGATATGTGGGAGCCCTCACCAGGCATAAAAAGGGCTCAAAAACATCGGTGTTAACAGCAGAGACTGCAGGAATGAGGCCTGTCCATCTCTCAACAAAGGGTTGCAGAGCACTGCACTGTGCCTCACAGCCCTCACAGGCTCTGTGCATCAACCCCAGCAGCAGGGATTAACCAGCACAGCTCACTGTCAGGAATCAGAGCCGCTGTCACCTCCAGCAGCCCCAGCCCAGCACCCTCCTGGAAAGCTTTTGTGAGTCCAGACTGAACCCCTGATGATGCAGGGGCTCTGCCCAGGCTGGGGGATGTGAATGCCACTTTCTCCTTTCCAGGTTCAACCAGTAGCAAAGCCGAGAACTTAGATACTTGCCTAGGATTTCAGCTTCAGATTTACAAATTTGTAAGCTGTGAGAAAGGACAGGGTAGTCACAACATGCCCTAAAATCTTGGAAAATTGTCCCAGTCAAGTCTGAACATAGTTCAGTGGAAATTGATGGGTACAAGGAAGGGAAATACCAACTTTAATTAGGAAATCAGTGGCTTACAGTTTGTGAAAGAATGTGTAAAGCAGACTAACAATACAAATGGTGCAGAACTATGGGTACAGAAAACTCAAAATTAAGCCTTGCTGTCTTTAATACTATGTTGCAACTTAGCAGTCAGCCCAGAGCTAACCCCAAAGCAAGGCACCACTGCAGATCACTCATCTCTGCCAGAATGAGCCCAAAACTCCAGGATCAGCCTGGACACAGCTGTCACATGCCCTGGTGCCTGGAGACATGTGGCTATCCCAGCCAGACACTGGAGCTGCCTGTACAAACTAACACAGAGGTGCTACTGATCCTAAGTGCCTCAGTGTGTTCCTGCCCATTGCCTCTGATGGGGGACCAGTGACTGCAGCCCTTGCTGGCACACACAGCCCCTTCAGTGCCCAGAGGGGTCATTGCCCCTGTGAGTAGAGCCCATGAGGGGGCCCATTCAGGCCCCAGGGGAGTGAAGAGTGCAGCCCCTGTCAGAATCCCACAGAAGGGCAGTGTCCAGGGATGTAAAAGGAGCATGTCAGCTCGTTTGGGGATATCTGATCAAAGGAGCCATGAAAGACATAGAGATGAACCAGACATGATGAGGAAGGCTGTGATGAGAACAAATCTGATCAGTCACAAAAATGGGTAAGGCTGTGTGAGGCTGAGAACATTTATTTTTACAGTAGGGAAGTATGGGAGACATCTCATAAATCCTGACCAATTAGCATTAACAAGGCAAGTAACCAGAAACAAATGGCATCACTCACACCAGCTGACGAGCTCTCAAGAAGCTGTAGGCAGCCCAGGACTTTGCAACTGATAAGGATGCAAAGCTCAGTGTCCAGGATGTTGGATGAAGACAGTGGGATGGCAGCTGCTGAGGAACTATGCTGGGACAGGGAGCAGCCAGGAGGGGTTAGACAGAAAAGGGTTATGAGAGCCTGGTTGGGTGTAAACCTGTGAGAGCAGTCAGTCCTGGTCTGGCTGAGCTCTAGACTTGAGCACCACAGTCCTGGCTTATTTAATCTTTCTGTAACACTCTGTGCAACCTCCCAGGGTCCCTCTGTGGTCTGCAAGGACCAAGTGGGCAGCTGGCATACTGAGGCCAACTCCTGAAATCAGACAGGGAGAGAGGGAGAGCAGAGACCCAGCCTGTGGTAGCAGCTCTTGGAGCCAGTGGGAACTCACCCTACAGCCACTGAGGCAGGAATACTTTGTGCCCACAAGAGCAGCTGCTGGGGGAGCAAGCCTGAGCAAGGAGAGTCAGGGGCTCCATGCCAGCTGGAGGACAGCAGGTGTGCTGATTCTGGAGGAAGCAACTGTATATCCCACAAACCAGGTGTACACATTTATCCAGCAGCAGTAATTCCAAGTAGGGGACTCCAGGTATGGGCAGGGTTATCAGGAGGGCAAGGGATCCGTGTTGGTACTTGGAGATACCTGCAAGTGTGGTGTGCCTTTGGGATAAGCATTTGAGTGTTGCTTTGGTGTGTCAAGCTGGAGCAGCTGGCAAGGAGGGGATGGGTCAGGATGCTGTGGTCCATGCTGGAGTGCTGGGTGGACAGAGGGGTCATACTCAAGTGCTCAAAGGATTCCCAAGTGTGCACATCCTTGTGAACCCTGAGGGTGTCACACGAGTCTGCCAGCCCCATCATGCACGGTGCCTGTGTGTCACCTGTGTCCTGTGTGTGGGTGCTAACAGCCATGCCAGTATCATCTGTGTGTCACTGTCCACGTGTCTGAGTGTGACACAGCTCACCATCAGGGCTGCCTTACCCTGCAAACAGGAAGGAACAGCTGTGTCCTCAGCTTGGACAGAAACACTGGCTACAAGACCCCCAGGCTGGGATGTCAGTGGCCACACAGGAGGGTCCTGGGCCACAGCTGCTGCTTTTCACATGGCTTAACAAAATCATTAACCTCTAAAGGAACAGAGACACCTGCCCCAATGCAGAGGGGCACAGCATTGGCTCAGGTATGCCTGCAAACACTCTGCTAGCCCTGAGCACTGCAATGCCAGCCCTGGGGTAACAATGCCTGTACTCAGGATCACACAACCTTGCAGCCTGGGGGCCAGGTCACCAAAACCAGATATATTCTATTGAGATTTCAGCCTGCTGTCACCCAAACATGCACCTTTTCTGGCTCTACTGCAAAGAAAGGGGCATGGGGCATGTGTGAATTTATTGCGCTGGAAAGTCTTAACTGCACTCAGAAGACAGTGATCCCATATACAGATTCAGATGACAGAAGCTCATTTAAACCTGTCATATATTTAAGCCAAACATCATACAGAGGCAACTTTTCAAAAGTCCTGAGTGAGTTACACATCCAGACAGTGAGTCCAAGGCCTGGGAACTCTGCTTAGTGTCAGTCCTCTGTGGGATGCAAACACTTCTTTCAGAAGAGCTGAAGATGGCAGTTCTCCAAAAATACTTGTTCTCATTTACAATCACAACCCATTGCAGTCATCAAAGTTTATACAGGTACAGCAACAACCTAACTGGGCTGGTTAGCCTGCCTGCCTGACAGAAGGGTGCTGCAGACCACAACATCTGGGGAAGCTCTGAAGCTCTAAATACTCAGCTGAAGTAACTAAAGCAGCACTACTGACTGCCCCCATGGTACTGGCCCACAAGGAACTGGGTCTGTATCTCAGAGTATGTCAGCCTACTCTCACAGAAAACAAGCTCTTGGGAAGAGGAAGGAAGCTGCACCTAACTTACAGGCAGCAAAGACACAGTCCAGGAAACCCACATGTGTCCCAAACCACGTTGCTTTCATGACTACTCCCGAAGTCCCACTTCAGCTGGCTGTGCTTACACTAACTGCAAGGACTATGTCCAGTTCCATCTGCAGTCCCACTCTATTTTTCCTGCCTGGAAAGCCAGCACATTGCCATTCTGTCTCCAGTATGTATGGGCAAAGAGTCAGGAGAGTGGGACATCTAGACTTCACCAAGACTGATCCTTCAGCTACTCTGACTATAGCATGGCATAAACCAAAAATACATGGACTGCTGCTGCTCTGAATGGTAAAGAGTAGGTCTTTATCTGCCTGAAGTGCCTTTTAATACAATTTTCTAGTCCTAACTTACATCACAGTAGGAATGTCTCTCCAGAAGTACTGCTATAATAAACTTTGCTGCTCTGTGGACTTCACAACCTGCAACCCACTTTAGGCTGTGGAAGTGGGTCAAGGGAAGCATGTGGATACATTTCCTGCCACTGTGAGATGATGAAATTGCAATCTGCTTGACAAGGGTAGAGGTACTGCCCCCCAGGGCAGACCAGGCAGCTTGGATATTCTGTGTGTAGTCAGGGGGAACACCCTGAACACAAGCACCACCTCATGGGATCAATAAAAGAAAACCACCCTGATTCGAGGTAAGCACAATGAAGGCAATAGCTGAAATCTTCCTTTAGACTAAAGCTGTGACTTGCACTGCCTCACACAATGATGCACCACCCAGCTCTCCTCAGCACAAGCTTAGATGTAGTGGGCATGTAGCCAAGGCAAAAGGGGACGCAGTCTGATTGTCACCCTTTTCCCTACAGGCTGGCAAAGCAGCGTTCTCCCTCATCCCTGCCACAGCACAAGGAGCATGGAACCCTGGAAGGGTTGGACTAGATTCAGCTGAAGGTACTGACACATCAGCCTGGTACCAGACACAAGAGAGGGCAGAGTCTCCAAGAAATCTGTATTCAGCACCCTAAGATGGATCTTCTCCCACAGCCACCAAGACCTAGAAAGAGACTTATGCTCTTTGCTTTGCCTGTGTCATCATGAGGAAAAACAGGAAGGGTGACTTCCAGTACCATGGAAGAATCAAAACAGCATTAGGACCTGTTTCCTCCTGCCACATCTCTCAGGGAAGAAGACATTACACCCCCAGCTGCTTTGCCAGCAGCTCACACACAAACACCATGCAAAAAGGAAGACGGGCAATTCCACAGTCACAATCCTTTGAGGGGCTTGTGCCTTCCTTTCCCCAAATGCAGGTGATGTTGAGATTCAGGTGGCAGTAAGAGGGATGACTCCTAAACTGGGGATGCACACAGGGAGATACAGGGGAAAAGGATCCCTTTTCTCACCCTTTTTGTAGGGAGATGGGGAAGCATCAAGGGGCAGGGCTCCCCTTTTTCATGGGAAGGCATGGGAGCTCACACAAACAGGGCCCAGCCCAGCCCAACTGAGGAGGCCTTAAGCCACAATGTCCTTCAGAGCTGCAGGCAGCTCGGGGAAGATGAAGTGGTAGCCGCTCTCCAGAGTGCGTTTGGGCAGCACCCTCTGTCCCTCCAGCAGCATGACCGCCCGCTCTGCCCCAAAGACAGCCCGCACAGCCCAGGCAGGCACCGGCAACAGGGCCGGGCGCCCCAGGGCTGCCGCCAGCTCCTGAGCAAAGGTGCCATTGGAGGTGCCAGGGGAGGATGGGGCAACACCATTGAGGATGCCTTGCACAGACTCTTTCTCCAGGGCATGACACACAATCCCAGACAGGTCCTGAATGTGGATCCATGGGAAGGGCTGGAGTCCAGAGCCCATAGGGCCTCCAAGTCCCAGACGGAAAGGCAAGAGCATCTGAGAGATTGCACCACCATCTCGACCCAGCACTACACCTGTGGGGAGAAGAGAGTGAGATCAGGTGCCCCTGCCCAAAGGGAAAAAGCCCCCTACACACCCAGACCTACAAGCAGGAGAATCCTTAGAGGGCTGGACTAGAACAGGACCCCCAACAAGGAGAGACAGAAGAACTGATGCCCCTTACCCATCTCTTCCCACTCTTGCCCCAGCAGTAAAGCAGAGTCACCATTAATAAGCATGATGCCCCATCTCACCTGATCTCACCACAACACCACGAGTTGGGCTCCCAGGGATGAGAGCTGCAGCCTCCCACGAGCTCACCAGGCGTGAGAAGAAGTCAAAATCCCCTCCTGGACTGTCTTCAGTGTACTCAGCTGTGGGGCTGGGGCGGTAATAACCTGCAGGGTAACAGCAGAAAGGGGGTCAGAGTTGAATGATGACACCAAGCCCCCCCTTCCCCATCAGACCATCTTCTCTGCCTCCAGGAACCCAGAACTCCTGTGAGGAAAGGACGAGAGAACTGGGAAACTTGTTCAGCCTGGAAAACAGACATTATTGCAACCATCCAGTGCCTGAAGGGAGCCTACAAGAAAGCTGGAGAGAGATTACAAGTGCCTGGAGTGCCAGGACAAGGGGGAATTGCTTCAAATTGAAAATCAGTTTAGATTGGCCATTAGCAAGAAACTCTACCCTGTGAGGGTGGGAGGCCATGGCACAGGGTGCCCAGAGAAGCTGTGGCTGCCCCTGGGTCCCTGGAAGTGTCCAAGGCCAGGTTGGATGGGGCTTGGAGCAGCCTGGGACAGTGGAAGGTGTCCCTGCCATAGCAGGGGTGGCACTGGATGGGCTTTAAGGCTCCTCCCAACCCAAACCATTCTGGGATTCTGTGAGCTCAATCACTCCACCAGGGACATCCTCACATGAACAGCACAGGGTCTCTGATGGCAATGCTGACAAGTTTTTGAACTACCAATGTGCTCTACAGGTTTAGCAGGATGCACTAACACTGAGGCAGCCCCAAACAGGCCTGCAAGCAACACACTGAGCTGGCTGGAAAGTGTCTGCTTTAATACTGGGCATCACGGAGGATAAACCATGGCAGCTTTAAAGGCTGCAGCAAGCAGCTGGAGATAATGCAGAGGGCTCCAGCTGAGGCCTTACTTACACAAATTAATTCTATGGGATGCCTGAAGGCTTTCACAGCAAAGCTCACACAGAAAAGCTTCTGCCCTAATGACACCAAGACAAAGCATAGAGACCCAAATTCCTCTCCAGCAGTACTAAAGCTTATCAAGGCTTGTCTGAACACAGCGACATTGATTGCAGTAAAGCTGACATTTCAAGGCAAGACACGTGCTCCCGAGGAACTGTGTTTCTGTCTGCAGGTAAAGCCTCTCCAGGTCAGCATGAGTGGTGTTTTGGTCAGGCCCAACCAATACCTACGCCAGTGACGAGGACCCAGGCACGGGGGGGCTGTTCAGCAGCAGCAATGGCTTTGGCCAAGGTCTTCGTGGTCTCCACCCGGCTGCTGGTGACCTCCCTGCAGAAGGCATCACCCCATCTGGGAAAGGGAGAACCAGGGATTAAACACCTCACAAGGACACCCCAGGAAACACTGCCACCAAGGGGGACCCCAGCTGTTGCCCTGAAAATTAAGCCTTCTGATAATGTTTTCATAGTTTTAGTTACTTTCCCATGAAAGTTCTGTAAACGTAAGTTTTTTATCACATTCCTTCTAAGAAATGTCTTTTGATGGACATTTCACATGACCAGTGTGCTTGGGAAGGTGGAAACTTAATTATCCAATCCCTGGTCATTGTCAAGAATCTATAAATACTGGAGTCAGGGAATAAAAGACAGTTTTTTTGTTCTAACACTGAGGGTGGTCGTGTGAATCATTTCATGTCCTCTATTGACACCCAGCCAACACCAGCTCACAAGCACAGGAGAGGTCACAGGAACTCCCCTCACCGCAGGGCAAATGGAGGACAAGTCATCTTACAGCATAAATGCAGGGAAACACTGGAAGATGATGGCTCTTCACTTCCCCTAAAAGACTGTGGGGTTTGGATTGCCTTCGGACAAAGTCAACAAAGGATCTAGACAAAGGATCTGTTCCTCCTAGAAGTCAAACTTTGGTTCTGATTTTGCATTATCAAATGTAGGCATGGCACCCAACATCCTTTTGGAAATGTGGAACTAACTTTTCTAGCCTCCAGCTGTAGATCCAGGAGGGAACCTTTCTTCCAAAGGTCTCTCAGAACCTACCAGGCCCACAGAAGTGTTCTGGATACTTGAAGATGCAAATGTCAATAGTTGGTTAACTCAAGAGCTTCCTGGTAATATTGTTTCCTCCCTTTCCACATTCTCTGACAACACAGGACTGTCCTGCCTCCACCTTGTCCCAACAGCACTACAGAACATCAAGTTACCTGCGGAAAGGGTTGAGGACATTTTCACCAGCCAAGTTGACCACAGCATCACACGGGGGCAGCCCGGAGCGGGACAGCTCTTCCTAGGCAGGAGTAACAGACACATCAACACATTAGGGCTCCCCTCTGCTCAAGCCTTCGCTACAAATAAGCTGGGCAAGCTCCTAAGAATTTCAGCCAGTTTCTTCCTGACATTTGCAGACTACAAGCATGAACGGGGAAGGTTTTGCTCCTTGGAGCTACAGCAGTACCCATTTCAATGACTGTGACCCATGGAGCACCCAGCAGCCCAAAAGAACATCCACAGGAGCCAGACCTCCCTTGGCAGGCTCCCTCTATGCCATGGAAAGGCAGGGCACACGGGCTGGTTTCTCAGCCCAGCCACGTTCCCCCTCCTGTGACTGCTCTCATACCCAGCTGATCCGATCCTTGCCCCCTCGTCGCGACACATGGGTCACTTGGTGCCCTCGGCTCCGCAGCAGCTGGGTCAGGGCTCTGCCCACGAAGCCAGTCCCACCACCTGGTGAGAGAGTCAGACAGGCCGTCAGGGCTGTGTCCCTGGGCCGTCACCGCCCGGCAGCAGAGGCGCCCCGCGGCCCGAGCCTGGGGGTGCATCACCGCAGCCCCAGCAGCGCCGCCGGGCCCTGGCCCGCGCACCATAGCCAGCCCCATAACCGGGGGGAAGAGGCGGCCTGGCTCCAGCCCAGCGGGCAGAACCCGCAATCCAGGACCGCCTGATCCTTCTCCAAAACTCCGTTCCGCTCGCCACTCGCGCTCTCTCACGGCCCCGCTCCTTCCTCACGGCCCCGCTCCCTCCTCACGAACCCGCTCCCTCCTCACGAACCCGCTCCCTCCTCACGGCCCCGCTCCCTCCTCACGAACCCGCTCCTTCCTCACGGCCCCGCTCCCTCCTCACGAACCCGCTCCCTCCTCACGAACCCGCTCCCTCCTCACGGCCCCGCTCCCTCCTCACGAACCCGCTCCTTCCTCACGAACCCGCTCCCTCACGAACCCACTCCGGCCTCACGGCCCGCACTCACCCACCACCACCCGCATTGCGGAGCTGCGCATGCGCCGAGCCGCGCCCCCCGCGCATGCGCCCCCCGCTGCGCACGGCGCCCCCTAGCGGGGGGGAGGCCCTTGAGGGGCCAGCGGGCCCAGCGGCGCTGAGGGCTCGGCAATGGGCGGGAGAGAACGGACGGAGCGGGGCCGGGGACACGGGAACGGCCCGGGGCGAGGGGACACTCCGGGAACGGAACAGAGCGGGGCTGGGGACACGGGAACGGCCCGGGCCGAGGGGACACTCCGGGAACGGAACAGAGCGGGGCCGGGGACACGGGAACGGCCCGGGGGACACTCGGGGAACGGCCCGGGCCTGGCACCGCGCTGAGCAGGGCAGCAGCGCTGACACAGCACCCGAGGAGTTCCTCAGGGCGATTTACCAGGTCTGTAAAAGCGCAGGAGTGAATGCCCAGAGAAGCTGTGGCTGTCCCGTCTCTGGAAGTGCTCAAGGCCAGGTTGGACAGGGCTTGAGCAGCCTGGGATAGGGGAAGGTGTCCCTGCCCATGGCAGGGCGTGGAACGAGGTGAGCTTTAGGGTCCTTTCAACCCAAAGCGGTCAGAGATTCTACGATTCTGTTACTCTATTAAATATTTTAAATATTGCTAGTAGAAAACAATTGTGCAGTTGGGAATTAGGCAGGGGCTGTTCTCATTGACCCGGAGCCTCCCTTCTCTCTGACAGCTGCTTTCATGTCTCCTTGGGGCCATGGGAAAAGAAAATATTTCAAGGATGTAATTCTGCCACTGGGCTTGAAATATCTCTTCTGAGATGCAATGAAATACATTGGAGATACAACTTCCCACCTAAAGGCAGCTGGAGCAGCCTTTGCTTCACACAGAGTTGTCTGTATTGTCAGCTCCTTTTACCTGTGTGAAGAACAGAGGGTGACAACAGCCTGCAGGCAAGATCTCCACACATTGGTGGCTCTTCTGGAGCAGCAACAAATGCTAGAGATATTTCTACCTACCTATCCAGCTTAGTCCACCTAATCATCTATCCTTGTCTGCAAGGACAAGGCTCTACATACAGCCATAGCCATTACACCACCTGTCCATCCCTCCATCCATACATCATCCTTCCCCAGCCCCAGTCTGTCACTGAGTCACAGAATCCATAAGGTTGGAAAAGACCTCCAGGATCTTTGTGTTTGACTGAACACCACGATGTGAGCTAAATCTTTGCACCAAATGCCGTGTCTAGTCTCTTTCTGAGCACTTCCAGGAGTGGTGTCTCCCTTGCTTCACTGAGCAGCAGCAGCTCTCCTTATCCCTCTCACCACCAGCTCCATAAAAATGCCGTGTCCTGTGGTTAAGCAAGGGAGAAATGGGCTTTCTAGGAGGAGCCAGCTTGGAAATTTGAGACTTAAGAGTCATTTGCACAGGAAGATGCATCTCTGTACTTCACAGGATGAAAGGTGGAGATGAGCAGCTGTTTTCGGTGTGGCACATGCTGTTGGGTGGGTGTGAGCTGGAGCTGCTCTCCAAACACACTGTGGTCTGCTGAACCTCTTTTGGATCGGTCACGATGGTGACGTGAGTTGAAGTTGCTGAATGCACATTCTCCTTTGAACTCCTCCATAAAGGGCAGAAGGCTGTACCTCAGGACAGCCTAGTAGGTACTACAGTGTAAACTGTCCAAAAAAACAGAGTTGTAAGGGACTTTTGGATATGTCTCAAACCTGTATTTCCTCCCTCTCCCCCCACAAACCTCCATCTCATGTTTCACTTGCTTCCTAGAAAGACAAAATTAGAAATACTACAGACAAATAAATCTTCTAGTTCACTCTTGTCTGACTTAAATTAGCTGTGGATGTGTACAATGAGAATGCCTCCACCTGAACTGGCTGTGTTCCAATGCACAGAAATGAGGTACTGCAAGAGTCTGAGTTTTATGTTCTATTTTAGATGTTCAGTACACTTAGATACTCATCAAACTGTCTGATCCAATAGAATTAATTATGGCTTTAAAATGCTAGTATCTTTTGAACGGCTATAAGAGGCCTCTAAATTACAGGTCAGATGCATTGTAAATGTCTAATTATGGTTAATGAAACCAGACTTCCATCTGCTCTAGAAAAGGAATAAAGCTAGCCAGAGAAGAATAAGAAAAAAAGAGATACTTTTGTTCACAATAATGCAAAAGAAAATGTCAGAATTGTGTGTCACTGTGGTCAGCCATTAAACAGATGTGTGCTCTTGGCTTATGTAATTGACCTTATTTTTAAATTCTTACTTTTATTCTGGTTTTATGTGTAAGTGTAAATGATTTAAGTAATAGATGTAAACTTATTAAATAATTTAATGATAATCAACCATATTGTCCATTGAAGGATATCCTACATTCTATCAAAAATCGTTTAGTTGAAATAACAATGACTAGATTCTTGTACATTTGTTTATATTTCCTGCTTTTACTGACTGTCACTGTTAGAGCAGACGCAGCACAAAGCAGATCTGTAAGAAACTTTGTCCAAGCCTTTATTGTGCCCATACATAGCATTTTTATACCCTCCTGACCCCATAGTGCACCCCATCTCATTGCCCATCACCACACCAGCCCTCAAGTCCATTGGTGGAAGCACTGTTTGGAGAAAGTGTCCCCAAAAATCCAAAATACAGATAGATCTTGTTTTTCCATGGTGTTTTTTGCAGCACAGATGTTCTTTGTTTTCCTCTACCTTTATCTTCTTTCTCTTCTTCTCACAAACATACAAATCTTGCTGGCTTCTTCTCTTCTGTTAACTCTTTCATCTGACCCTCAGCCCACTGTGGGCCCTCTCCACAACTGACCATCTAGAAACACAAAAGACTCTTTAAAGCAAGTCCTGATGTCTTTTATTTTACATTCTAAGCATCTGTCCATACCAAATTGGACACTTAATATTCATTCTCAACCTCAGTAAACATGCTAAAATATCCCTTTCCTTTTTAACTGTTTTTTCAGAGACCCTTTTACCTCCCTGTTTCTGAGGGTGTAAATGAAAGGGTTTAGCATGGGAATAACAATAGTATAGAAAACTGAGATGGTGTTGCTTTTGTTGGGTGAAGATGTGGCTCCAGGCTGAGCATACATGAAGAAGACTGTCCCAAAGAACAAGCAGATTGTCATCATGTGAGAAGAGCAGGTGGAGAAGGCCTTGTGCCTGCTTTCAGCTGAAGGCATTTGGAAGATAGTGATGATTATATAACCATAGGAGATAAAAACCACCAAGGCAGTGCCCACAATTATTGATCCACACACAGCCAGCATTACGAGCTCATTGATGAGTGTGTTGGAACAGGAGGCTTGGATCACTGCAGCAACATCACAGAAGAAGTGGTTTATTTCCCTGTGCCCACAAAAGGACAAACTGAACGTGAAGCCTGTCTGGATGGTGCAGTTGATGCAGCCTGACAGGTAAGAACCCATCACCATGAGAACACAAAGCCTTCTGCTCATAATGACTTGATAGAGCAGTGGATTGCAGATGGCAGTGAAGCGATCATAAGCCATCACAGCAAGGAAGAAGGCTTCTGTTGTACCAAAAAGAGAGAAGAAGAACATTTGTGAAGCACAGCCATTGTAGGAAATGCTTCTTCTGCCCAGTAAGAATGCCAGTGCTGCCCTGGGAGTGATGACAGAGGAATAACAGATGTCCAAGGTGGACAAGTTCTCTAGGAAGAAGTACATTGGGGTGTGCAGGTTGGAGTCCATCCTGATGATGAGTATCATGCAGACATTTCCCACTACAGTGACAATGTACATGGAGGAGAAGAGAACAAAGAGAAGGAGTTGTGATCCTGGGTGGGATCTGAACCCAACCAAAACGAACTCACTTATCCTGGTGTGGTTTTCCATCTTTGCTTTCAGATGATGTTCCAAAAGGAAATTAGGATGCAGTAAATTTCAGGTAGTTTGCCTGGAGAAGCAATTATAGAAGAATAAGACAAACAATGAGATATATGAAATATAAGAAATATTAAATACAGAGTAACAGATGGAAAAAAATATAAAATTCATTAATATATCACATCTTCAGATTTTTTTCAATGATTACAGGGTAATTTGTAAACTAATAATCCTGTAATATTATCTTCAGTATAAAGAAACATTCTGCATGCAGCTTATCCAACATATTTTAATTTAATAAACTTTAAAACCAAATAGAAACAGACATTTCATTCTACAGTTGAAGACCTCTTTCAACTGGGCAGAAAAAATCTCATACCAAGATTGCAACTAACTCACAAATGACTGCTCTACCCTAAGCAAAAGAACAAGGGAATTTGCTGCTTCAGATGATGTAAAACAATTGAAAACAAATTAATTGAAACTCATTGAAAATGAGCCAAGAAATGTATTAAAATAATGTGGATAACTTTTTCTAAAAAAAACCAAGTCTATTATTTTAAAAAACCCACATTGTTTCATGTGAGAAACTGAGTTTTTTCTTTTATTAAAGTACTTGGAAAAAAAACCCCTTCAAACATTGAGATTTCTGAAATAAGTTTTCTCAAATGTTAATTCACACAGTATGTTAAAAACTGACTAATTGACAGAATGTTTCAAGTAATTCCATTTCAATTCTATTTAGTAAATTTATTTTCATAAGCTAGTTGTCCTCATACCTAGGCTTGAATATATTCTGTAGGCTGATGCCTACATTAGAACTCACAGTTTGGATGCCTTTAAATTCAGTGGACAGATATAAACACTCCAGCTTTAGAATATTTACTGTAGAAGGTATGAATCATGTTTTAAGATTTTCTGGTTTTCTCCATTGATCTAAAGGAAATTCCAGCTATTCTGTCTGTGAAAAGATGAATGTAGATGTAAAAAGCTGAGTGACAGAAATCCTCATCCAGTTACTGGCATTTTGTGTGGTTTGCTGTCATTTCCATTGGATAATTTTTCTTAACCAGCACATTCCTAATCTTTTCAAAGCACTGAATTATTTTTTAACACATTTCTCCAGCTAGCCCTTCATGGTCCTTGAAATGTAGCCTCAGCTCTAGGTACCCTCAGAAGCT